GCCCATTTGGGGTTGGGGGAAGGCAATGTACAGGTAGATCAACAAGAGAAAGCTAGGTACGGTGGGCCTCGGGGTCAGGTGGAAGGTGAGGAGGAGAGGAAGGTGGAGAGTTGCGGCAGGAGAGAGGGTGGCATCCCTCTCCCCCGTTTATTATTTATTATTTTCCTTAATTTTTTTTTTTTTTTTTTTGAGACAGAGTCTCTTCTCTGTCACCCAGGCTGGAGTTCAGTGGCTCAATCTCGGCTCATTGCAACCTCTGCCTCTCCGGTCCAACTGATATCTCCTGCCTCAGCCTCCTCCCCAGTAGCTGGGACTACAGGTGGTGGCCACCATGTCCGGCTAACTTTTGTATTTTTATTAGAGACAGGGTTTCACCATGTTGGCCAGGTTGGTCTCAAACTTCTGATCTCAAATGGTCTACCTGTCCTCAGCTCCCAAATTGTGGATTAACAGGGTGAGCCCACCACGCTCGGCCATAATTTTTTTTTTTTTTTTTGAGATGGAGTCTCGCTCCGACACCAGGCTGGAGTGCAGTGGTGTGATCTCGGCTCATTGCAACCTCTACCTCCCAGGTTCAAGCGATTCTCCTGCCTCAGCCTCCTGAGTAGCTGAGACTACAGGTGGCCCACCACCACACCCAGCTAATTTTTTTTTTTTTTTTGTATTTTTAGTAGAGATGAGGTTTCACTCATGTTGGCCAGGCGGGTCTCCAACTCCTGGACCTTGTGATCTGCCCGCTTTGGTCCTCCCAAAGTGCTGGGATTATAGACCATGAGCCCACTGCGCACCCCCCATCCCCAGCCCAGAAAAATGTCACAATTTGCATGTTATCTTTTTTCGCAGGGCCATGCTAATCTTCTCTGTATCGTTCCAATTTTTTTTTTTTTTTTGAGACAGAGTCTAGCTCTGTCGCCCAGGCTGGAGTGCAGGGCCGGATCTCAGCTCACTGGCAAGCTCTGGCCCGGGTTCATGCCATTCTCCTGCCTCAGCCTCCCAAGTAGCTGGGACTAAGGCCCCGCCACCTTCCCGGCTAGTTTTTTTTTTGTATTTTTAGTAGGAGATGGGGTTTCACCGTGTTAGCCGGATGGTCTCGATCTCCTGACCTCGTGATCCGCCCGTTTCGGCCTCCCAAAGGCTGGCATTACAGGCGATGAGCCACCGGGCCCGGCCAGTTCCAACTGTAATACATGTGCCGTGGAAGCAAGCACGCCCTGCTATTTAGGACAGACTTTCCTGTTCCTGGTTCCCTGGATGTCCCTCTTCACACTTCTCAAAAAGACTAGTTCAAACATCACTGCTAACAGACCATTTTAAACGCCGTTATCCGGGGAGAAGTACTTCTTCCTTGTCATGAATGGACTCCAGTTCTTGGAACGCTTTATGTATCTTTCCATAAAAAAGAAACTCCTGGCGGGCGGGTGGCTCACGCCCTGTAATCCCAGCACTTTGGAGGCCGAGGCGGGCGGATTACCTGAGGTTGGGAGTTCAAGACCAGCCTGGCCAACATAGTGAAAACCCTGTCTCTACAAAAGAATGGCGTGAACCCGGGAGGCGGAGGTTGCAGTGAGCCGAGATCGCGCCACTGCACTCCAGCCTGGGCGACAGAGCGAGGCTCCGTTTCAGAAAACAAAACAAAACAAACTTCTTCAAGTCCTGGGATTAATCATTTTTCCTGTGTTTAATGGGGCTGCTCTATGTTCTTCAGGGGCAAACAGCACCCCCCCATATTAGAAATGGACTCTTCCAGTGTCTAAAACAGCTGAGCAACGTCTGTCCTCCTGGAATCCAAAATGGACTTTCCCAGGTCCCATTCCTGGAAACCCAAATGGACGCATCCATTGAGCCTGGAAGGTGGGCTCTTCTCAACCTCCTTTCCATCTCCCAGGATTCAGAATGGCCATTCCAAAGGTCCCGGACACATCCCCAAGACTCATTCCAGGAATGCTTGGCTTCTGAGATTAGAAAAGGATGATGGGGTGGTTTTGTTCCTAGAGGTGACAGAAATGGACTCTTCCAGTTCCCTTTGTCCCAAATTTCTCAATCGTCCGGGGCGTTGGGAGTTCTGGCCGTTTTGCCTTCCCGAAAGCTAGTTTACCGAAGAGTCTCTGGGGAGTTGGGGGTTGGGGATGGAGGCTGGGGGTGGGCCAAAGCAGGTTCACCCATTCCTTCCTTTAACAGATGTTGTTGAAAACTCTTTAAGGCCAGGTCCCATTCTTGCCCAGAAGGAGTTCCCAGTCTGGAGGAAAGAATCAATTTTGGTTTGATATCTGCTACAATGGAGGCTGCCCGAGAGACACTGTGGTTGGACAAAAAAAAAGGCAACATATATTGAAAAGTAAGCCAAGATATGGTTTACATTTATTTCTGCTTTTTCACTTACAAGCTATGTGGCCCTGGGCAAGTCATTCACCCTCTCGACCTAAGGTTTAACCTCTGCTTAATGGGACTAGACTTGAATTACTGTTTTTCACTCTGAGATTCTAGGTCTCCTGACAACTCAAGTCCCGACACGTTGGCTGCAGAGAAGGGGGGAGGGGAGGAAGGCTTCCTAGAAGAGGATTTTAGCAGTCGCGGGTGACAGTAGATGGAGAAAGGGAACACTGAGACGCTTGCGCAGTAAACACCGCACGCTCTCTTGCCCCGCCCAACCCCTTCTCTGCAGCAGGGAATTGCAGGCGTCGCTCCACCTATCCCAGCCGAGCGGAGTGACACCCTCTCTCGTTCCTTCTCTACTAATCTTCGCCTTCCGCCCGCCCCACAGCCGCCCAATAGAGAGCTGAAGTAGGACAGATCTCGCCAATCCGCGACGCCTGAGGGGGAGGTCTACCCGTTCATTGATCCCAGTCTACCTAAGTCCCGCCTCCTAGTCCCGTTCCCCGCCTTCCTTCACGACCCTCCCTCCCTCCTTGGAGGGCCGCTAGATCCAATCAGTGTTTGACCTGGCCGCGCGAAGGGGGCGGGTCCATGATGCGCAATCCAACCCCGCCCGTCTCTTGGGCAACGCCTCCTCCCCCCTTCTCATTCCGAAACGGAAATAGCGGAACAGTGGACCAATGGCAGCGTCGTGCCTTTGCTTAGCGGCCAATGAGAGAGGAAGTGGGGGAGAAACGCGAGTGTGAGCGGCAGGAGCCCAAACCAATGGGAGGCTCAGAGCTCCGGACGGCGGGCGGAGGGGAGGGGCAGGGGGCGGTGCCACGGCCTGCCAGCCCGCCCGCCCGCCAGCCAGCCCTCCCCGCGGCCGGCTGGGCTCCTTGGCGCTGCCTGGGGTCCTTTCCGCCCGGTCCCCGCTTGCCAGCCCCCGCTGCTGTGTGCCCTGTCCGGCCAGGCCTGGAGCCGACACCACCGCCATCATGCCGGCCGTGTCCAAGGGCGATGGGATGCGGGGGCTCGCTGTGTTCATCTCCGACATCCGGAACTGTGAGCGCGCGGCCGGGGGACACTGGAGACGCGGGGGAGGGGGGAGCGTGAAACTGAGGGGTTTGGGGGTCACAGAGGGACCCGGGGGATCAAAAGCTCTACGGTCGTAGAAAAAGAGCATAGATGGGCCCCGGGAGGAACTTTAGGGTGGGGGGCACGCAGGGGCTTAGGGTGTCATAGAGTGCCTCTTGAGGTGACGACACGGAGTAGCTAGAGGGGTCCGGGAGGGCTTGAAAGGGGAGGAGGACAGTGAGGTCCCGGGGATGGGAGCATAGAGGTGTCCCCTGGGAAAGACTGAAAAGCTGGGGGATCGTACAAACGATGGGGTTAGAGGGATTCCTAATGTAGGGAAGAAGGGAAAGAAGTGCATGGTGGGGGTGCCCTGTGGAGCGATGGAATGGGAGGAAGCCAGAGGGAACCTGGAGGAAGTGGAATGCCGGAAGCCTAATGGAGCAGGGCTTGAGGGCCTGGGATAGGGGGTGTCATACTGGGGAAGGGGGTTAGATAGGTCACCGAGGCTCCTGGCCAGTGGTATAGAGGAGGCCTGAGAGTGGGTGAAAGTCCACGCGTTTGGGGCGGGGAGATGATGGGAGGGGGAGACTATAAGGACACCCTGGTGAGGGATAGAGGGGCTTCAGGGTAGGAGATTGCTTAGAAGATATGGAAGGCAGTGGGGAGGGGGCTAGAGGGGCAGCTGAGGGGAAAGGAGGGACCCAAGGAACACAGAGGAAAAGAGCTGCTGGTGTAAGGTCTTGGGAGAACCTGTGACAGGGAACGGGGGCCTGGAAAGGAGAGGACGTTAGAGTGGCGGGTTGGGGCAAGGGCAGAAGAAGGAGCGCCCAGACCTCAAGGAAGGCGTTGGGTTCTGAAGTGCTTGAGGGGTAGAGATCTGGAAAGCTGGGGATAGGGGAAGTCTAATCCCAGAGAGAGGTCAGGGGTCAGGCAGCAGGACAGGCAGGGATCTGAGCCCTTTTCTGTTTGACCACAGTAATATGGGGACAGTGGTCCCTGCCAGGAAGAGTTGTCGTGACAATGAAGCCTGGCGGCAAGTCAGCTCTCAACTCCTGGGAATGGCTGTTGGAGATTGGAGCTGCCAGGAGTCTTCAGAGGCTGTATCCGCATGGGCTCTGGGGTCAGCCAGACTTGGGTTTGCGTTTGAGCACTGCCACTCCCTAGCTGTGTGACCTTGAATGAGGGACTTCACCCCTCGGTTTCCTCATCTGTCAAGAGAGACTGCTGATCGTATCTTCCTGAGGGGCTTGTGACAATGCCTGTGAGTCAGGCCTTTCTCGCGTTCCAGGCCCCAGATGGAACTTGGCTATTGTTTTTCCTCCGCTGGCTCTGAACAGCAGCTCTGTAAAGTACCCAGTGATTGTTGTTGTTTTAGAATTTAACTGTTATGGAAGGATCTGGCATGTAGTAGGTGCTCAGGGAACAGGAGGGTGGAAACGGTTGGGTATCAGTTGAAGGAGAAATGATCACTTGTTATGACAAGGGGCGGAGCGATGGGGGTTGTGGAATAGCTGGGGGCCACTGTTAGCAGATATACGCTGCCTCTGTTACCCACCAGGGATGTGAATCCCTACGAGTCATTTAACCTCTTTCAGGACGTCTTCTTGTCTGCAAACTTCATTCATAACAGCGTCTTGCCTCTGAAGGCTCATTTATTCATTCATTCACTTGACAAATACTTTTTGATCGCTCTAGTGTTGTCCAGGCCGTGTTCTAGGCGCTGGGATGACAATAATGAACAGAAACTCCTGTTCTTGCCGGGTGCGGTGGCTCACGCCTATAATCCCAGCGCTTTGGGAGGCCGAGGCAGGCGGATCACCTGAGGTCAGGAGTTCAAGACCAACCTGGCCAACATGGTGAAACCCTGTCTCTACTAAAAATGCAAGAATTAGCCAGGGGTGGTGATGGGCGCCTGTAATCCCAGCTACTCAGGAGGCTGAGGCAGGAGAATCGCTTGAACCCTGGAGGCGGAGGTTGCAGTGAGCCGAGATCACACCATTGCACTCCAGGCTGGGCAACAAGAGTGAAACTCCATCTCCAAAAAGAAAAAAAAGAAAAAGAAACTCCTGTTCTTGGGAGCTCCCTTCCCCGAGGAAGACAGAACATACGCACAGGGAACACCCTGAGATACAACCTCAGGACCTGACTGGTGCTGTGAAGAAAAATGAGGAAATGGGCAGGAGAGGGACTGGGATTGAGAGGGTACTCAGTAGGCCTCATGAAAGAAGTCATAGCTGAGTGGAGCAAGCCCTTTGGATTTTGGAGGAAAGGGGTCCTGGCACGGGGAGGTGCGTTCAAAGGTCCTGAGGTTGTGGCATGCTTGACGTGTGTTCAAGTGAGAGGGAGAAGGTCAGTGTGGCTGGACCTGAGGGAGTGAGAGGGAGAGAGGGCGGGAGTGGAGAGGGGTGGGAACAGGATCGGGAAAGGCTTTCTGGGCCATGGTGAGCACTTTGGCCTTTGTCTGCGTGAGAATATTTTGAGCAGAGGAGGGACGTGACCGATTGATGTTTTAAAATAATTCCTCTGGCTGCTGTGAGAACAGATTCTAGAGGTAGCCGTGGAAGCAGGGAATCAAATTAGGAGGATGTTGCAGGCCTCTGGGTGAGAGATAGTGCTGGCTTAACGGGGTGAGAAGGGACTGGTGAGAAGTGGGTTGGTGATATGTTTTTTTTTTTTTTCTGAGACAATCTCTGTTGTCCAGGTTGGAGTGCAGTGGCATGATCATAGCTCACCGCAACCTCCGCCTCCCAGGTTCAAGCAATTCTGCCTCAGCCTCCCCAGTGGCTGGGATTACAGGCACCCATCACCACGCCTGGCTAATTTTTTTTTTTTTTTTTTTTTGAGACGGAGTCTGGCTCTGTCGCCCAGGCTGGAGTGCAGTGGCCGGATCTCAGCTCACTGCAAGCTCCGCCTCCCGGGTTCACGCCATTCTCCTGCCTCAGCCTCCCGAGTAGCTGGGACTACAGGCGCCCGCCACCTCGCCTGGCTAGTTTTTTGTATTTTTTAGTAGAGACGGGGTTTCACTGGGTTAGCCAGGATGGTCTCGATCTCCCGACCTCGTGATCCACCCGTCTCGGCCTCCCAAAGTGCTGGGATTACAGGCTTGAGCCACTGCGCCCGGCCGCCTGGCTAATTTTTATATTTTTAGTAGACACGGGGTTTCACCACGTTGGCCAGGCTGGTCTCGAACTCCTGACCTCAAGTGATCTACCCGCCTTGGCCTTCCAAAGTGCTGGGATTAGAGGCGTGAGCCACCGCGCCCGGCCTGGGATACAATTTGAAGGAAAAACTGTCAGCATTTGCAAAGGGATCTGATGATGGGGGTTGGGGAAGGAAAGAGATCGTCCCGTCACTGCAGGACCCCAGAGAGGAGCCAGAGGACAGAGGGGAGATGCAGGCTTGGGGCACTGGAAGTAATTTAGCTGCAGGAATTAGGACTGGAGAATCAGAGGCCTTTTCTTAGCAAGCGTATGTTGAACGGCTCGTTATGTCTTAAGAATTATGCTGAATGCTGGGGACGTTGGTGAACAGGACAGACTTGTCCACCCCCCCATGAAGCTCCCAGCCCCGCGGGGGAGAAGGTGCAACATACAAATTGCAATTGTCCTTCACGCTAATACCCAGACACGGGTGTTCATGGCAACATTATTCATGATAGCCGGAAAACGGAAACGGACCAAATGCCCATCAACTGAGAAATAAACAAAATGTGGTCTATGTAATGGAATATTACCGGGCCATAAAAAATAATGATGTCCTGCTACATGTTGCCACAGGGATGGACCTTGAAAACATGACACCAAGTGAAAGAAGCCAGACACAGGAGGCCACGTGTCATATGATTCCATGTAGATGGACTATCTAGAATAGGCAAATCCATGGAGACAGAAAGGAGATTAGTGGTTGCCTAGAGTAGGGGGCTGGTGCGATGGGGAGTGACTGCTCATCAATGCAGAGGTTCTTTTTTTATTTTTTGGGACGGAGTCTCACTCTGTCGTCCAGGCTGGAGTGCAGTGGTGTGGTCTCGGCTCACTGCAACCTCTGCCTCCCAGGTTCAGGCGAGTCTTCTGCCTCAGCCTCCTGAGTCGCTGGGATTACAGATGTGCACCACCACGCCGGGCTAATTTTTGTATTTTTAGTAGAGACGGGGTTTTTCCATGTTGATCAGGATGGTCTCGAACTCCTGACCTCAGGTGATCCACTACCCCAGCCTTCCAAAGTGCTAGGATTACAGATGTGAGCCACTGTGCCCGGCAGAATTCAGAGCTTCTTTTGGGTTCATGAAAAAGCCTATAGCTGGGACTACTTGGGAGGCTGAGGTAGGAGGATCATTTGAACCCAGGAGTTCGAATCCAGCCCAGGTCACATAGTGAAACCTCATCTCTTAAAAAAAAAAAAAGAAAAGAAATGCTCTGGAATTAGATAGTAGTAATGGTTGCACAACATCATGAATGTACTAAAGAACACTGAATTGTTCACTGTAAAAGGGTGTTTTATGGTATGTGAATTGTATCTGTCTCTTTTTTTTTTTTTTTTGAGACAGAGTCTCACTCTGTCGCCCAGGCTGGAGTGCAGTGGTGCGATCTCGGCTCACTGCAACCTCTGCCTCCCAGGTTCAAGCAATTCTCCTGCCTCAGCCTCCCGAGTAGCTGGGGGCGCCCACCACTATGCCCGGCTAATTTTTGTATTTTTAGTAGAGACGGGGTTTCACCATGTTGGCCAGGCTGGTTTCGAACTCCTGACCTCAAGTGATCTGCCTGCTTCGGCCTCCCAAAGTGCTGGGATTACAGGTGTGAGCCACCGCGCCCGGCCGTATCTCGATTTTTTTTTTTTTTTAAAGGGGGGAAGAATTTGCAGCTGTCCTAAGTCCAGTGCGGAAGAGGACCATCGTGTTGAGAGAATGGGGGCTCTGTGTGGTCAACGAGCTCCGGCCTGGTTTTGCTTCACGAGAGACCCTTGGAGCTGTGTGGGCAGGAAGTGGGGGAGTT